CAGGAGAGGTTTACTTTCACATTAATATAAACTACCTCCCAAATGCACCAAGATCTTAGAAAGTGGAAGTGGTTATATTATTTATTATTGTTTTAAATAACATTTTTCCCACTATCATGAATCATATATCTTCATAGATATTTTAGTTTATAAATGAAAAGACACTATTTGAGGTTGCTAGCCAGACTTTTTTTTTCCTTCCATTTTTCAAGTATTGTTCTCCATAATGGTAAACAGCAGCAAAACACTTTCCCTTCTTTTAATGGAACAATCTGTCTTGACACTAAATGGGATACTTAAGGGCCTATTCAAGCACAAGACTCAATGACCACTTTCAAGTTTATTAAATGTTAAGAAAATTCTCATATAGAAAACAAGTTTAGTCCTTGAAACTCACAAGGTTCCATCTAACTCCTAAGATTCCAAAATGAGTATTTTGTTTTGAATATACCAAGAACCTCAAAAGATGTCAGTGATCCGGTTCAGGTGACAAGCTAGAACCCCCAATAAATATTTTTATTCCCACTGTTTTTCCCCTCAGTATTAGAGATCTGGCCTATTCCATACCCATAAATATTCTCTCTCTCTCTCTTTTTTTTTTTTTTTTTTTTTTGATAAATTCTTACAATATTTGACTCATAGGATGGAAGATTTTACCTGTAAAGTTTAAAGGATCGCTCCACATTGTAAAAGGAACACAAAGGTATCTAACAAGCTCTCTTTCTTAAAATATCAGGTATTTCCTGCAGGATAATTTCTTTCCCATCCCCAGAAGGCAAGAGTTGATCCCATCAAGCCAGGTCTTCAGTAATTTCAAGTTGCCTTCAGCAAAAAATCAAAATTCCTTTGCAGGACATACAAAGTTGTCTCTAGTCTGACCCCATATATATTTATAACCTCATTTTAAGCTAACCTTTCTTTCACTTCTCCTATGTTCCTGGGGTTTTCTAAACATAACGTTTTCTTTAATTTTTCTGCCTCTTTGCATGTCACTTCCTCTATCTAGAAGTTATTTACTTTCTCTACCCGATGATTATCTCTTCCTTACAAGCGCTTACGTAACTAGTCACTTTCTTCTCTAATATAATCACACTTTGCACGTATTTCTATGGCACCTCTTCCACTGATTTGCCCCCTTATTTGTATGTAGGCTTGCCCCTGATGATAGGGGGTCTCTTTTCTGAGAGCAAGAGGATGTTAACTCTCAAAGTGAGTATTGCATTATGCATTTATTTATTAGGCTGAACTACATGAAACTGGTGATATTTTAGCATTTTTGGTCGATAAAAATGTTACTACTTATTTATACTTTACCTCATTCTACAAATACTTCTCAAAACCCTGTTAAAAGCACACTGAGACAGAGACAGCATATTCACCAAGTATTCCATTTGAATACTTAGACTTTCTGACTCCATTGTGATTATGAGGGGCTAAGCATACTTACCAGATACTCCATTTGAATACTTAAACATGGAAAAAGTAAACAGAAGTATGCTACTTTCTGGCAGAAACAGTGAAAATAGCATGTGCATCTTTCTAAGCTCTCCGCTCCTGCTACAATGACCAAAGAAACTATGTTCTATACAGTGCAGCTGTAGATGGAAAAACTTTAACTTGAATCACTGAGTGACATACTGAGTAGAGCCCTACACCAGCCCATAATGTACACAAGCAAGAAATAAACCATTATTGCATTAAGCTACTGAGATATCAGCTTTAATTTCTGGCAATCTGACATATAATGAGTTAAAATAGACAAATGAGGTAAAGGGAAATAAAAATAGGTAAAGACAGGATAGTATTAAATCTAAAGTGCAAGCCTTTATGTCCTCTGTATACTAAAGGTATGATACATATTTGATTCTGAGCTTCCTTGGGGTCAAGTGAAAATGAGAACCCTCATCTGTTGCAAAGTGCAAAGACTCCATACAATAAAAAATAACTTAATGCTTTAAATGCTCAATATGTATTGATTGAATAAAATTTTATATCATTGTTTATATGTCCATTATATTTTAGGAAAATAGGGCATAGAAAGATTACTTCTGGAAAGATTAATGAATCATGAAAATGGGTCAGAGAAACTTCTTACCTATGTTTGGCTTAGTGTAACTCTAGATCAATTACTTTTCTATATCCAGAGTTGTTAGCCTCAGATTTCAAAACAGTAGATAATTCTGAAAAGAGGATAATGATGAGATAAACCATTCACATAATACATGCATCTTTTATAAGCTCTTTTTAAAAATATTATTTAAATGCATATCAACACACATGACAAAGGATTTTACATTAGTAAATTCTTAGCTGAGAGGTGAGAATAATACCTCCACTCATTTTGTACAAATCTTAAGGCAGAGAGACTAACAGAAAGATGTTAATAACTTTATTCTCTAAACTTTTAGTGTAACAAAGTAATTAGCTGTTAGCGCTCTAGTTGCATATTTCCAAATTAACATGTAAAATTGTTAAGCATAAATATATATAAGCATAGAAGCTTGTGAGATTATGGATCATTTTTATCTATAATTTGCTTTTTTCAAAGTATTCAATAACTATTTTTATAATCAGAGAAATATACTTTTGAAATATAAAGATTCAAACACTTTGGCATTTTTCTTCAGTCTTTTCTCCATATTACCTATCCACTCTTACTTTATCCTCATTGATAACCTTGAACTGCTTATAAATATAATGGTCATCTGGATTTTCTCTGAAAAAAGAGATAGCATCATACCATGTATTACCCGTTTACTACCTCAGTCATATAAAGTCTGAGGACTTATTTGTTATTGTCACAATAAATAAGCCAGATATGCACATAAAATACAAAATGCTCAGCATTTTCACTGGCAGAATTCATAGAGAAGCCCACTCCTAGTTTATTTCTATTTACTCCTGCCTCAACTAATGTGCAGCAGCACCTCAGCCTCGATCCTGCAATGTCCTGGTTTATTTAATATGATCTTGGATTTGTTATATTATCTCTTTTCTCACAGCCAAAATTTTCAAACACTTTTTCTATGCTTTATATTCATTACCAAAGCTACACTTCTCATTTCCAGAAAGGCACCTCTACTTCTAATAATTTACCTTAAAGAAATATTAATGGATGTCAGTAATGTTTGCTTAAAATGGCATTTATTATAGAATTATTTATAATCTAAACTGTTAGCAGCTTTGATTTCAAGGTAATGTTTATCATGCCTTTTATTTTGTTCTTGATAGCTATTTAAAATATTTAAATCTTTTGTAACTTTTTTTCTGTTATCACATATATACATTCCAATTTCTGATCTGAGGATCCACAGGCAATTGGCACGATTGGTATTTTGCTCAATTTTTAAGCAGGTTATTTGGGTTTATATTTTGCTATTGAGCTATGTGGGTTCCTTATATACTTTGTATATTAACTCCATGTGAAATATGGGGCTTGCAAATATTTGCTTCCATTCCATAAGCTGATTTTCTATGTCATTGTTTCTTTTAATGTGCAGAAGATTTTTTGGTTTGATGTAGTCCTATTTCTTTATTTTTGCTTTCTGTTGCTTGTGCTTTTGGTGTTATATCTGAAAAATCCGCTAAGACTAATATTAAAAAACTTTCTTTCCAATATTTTCTTCTAGAAATTCTATAGTTTTTGATCTTACATTTAAGTCTTGAATCCATTTTGAGTTAATTTTTATATATGGTATAAGACAAGGGTCCATTACACTCTTTTGTGGATATCCAGTTTTCCCAGTATCATTTATTGAAGAGACTATCTTTTCTATATTGTGAGTTCTGTGTACCTTTATCAAAAATCAGTTGACTGGCTGGGCGCCATGGCTCACACCTATAATCTCAACACTTGGGGAGGGTAGGACAGGCAGATCACTTGAGGTCAGGAGTTCATGACCAGCCTGGTCAACATAGTGAAATCCTGTCTCTACTAAAAATACAAAAACTGGCCAGGCGTGATAGCGTGCATCTGTAGTCCCAGCTACTTGGGAGGCTGAGGCACAAGAATCACTGGAACCTGGAGGCAGAGGTCGCAGTGAGCCGAGATCATGCCATTGCACTCCAGCCTGGGCCACAGAGCGAGACTCTGTCTCCGAAAGAAAAAAAAATTGACCATAAATGCATGAATTTATTTCAGGACTCGCTATTCCGTTGGTCTATGTGTCTGTTTATGCCAGTACTAGAATGTTTTGATTGCTACAGCTTTGTAATATAATTTGAAATCAGGTAGTATGATGTTTCAAGCTTATTTTCAAGATTGCTTTGGTTATTCAAGATATTTTGTGGTTCCATATAAATTTTAGAATTTTTTTTTATTTCTGTGAAAAATACCATTGGAGTTTTAATAGAGATTACATTGAATCTGTAGAAATTTTTCCAAAGAAGGCATACAAATGGCCAATAGGTATATTTAAAAGTGCTTACCTTTATTAATCATAAGGAAATGCAAGTCAAAACCGCAATGATGTATCACCTTACACCTGTTAGGATGGCTATTATCAAAAAGACAAGCGATTTGCAAGTGTTTGCAAGGATATGGGGAAAAAAGAACCCTTTTAATCTGTTGATGGGAATATAAATTGGCATAGCTATTTTGGAAAATGCTATAGAGATTTTTCAAAATATTAAAAAGAGAACTACAACACAATCTAGTGATCCCATTTTGGTGTATATATCAAAAGTAAATAAAATCAGTATCTCAAAGAGATAATTGTACTACCATTTTCATTGCAGCATTATCCACAATAGCCAAGATAAAGAAACAAACTAAGTGTCCATCGATAGATGAATGGTAAAGGAAGAGTGTGTGTGTGTGTGTGTGTGTGTGTGTGTGTGTATGATGTGTCTTCCACACATCATAAATATATGAGAGAATAGTATTTAGCCATAAAAAGAAGGAAATCCTGGCATTTGTGACAATGCGGATGAACCTGAAGTACATTTTGCTAAGTGAGATAAACTGGATTTATTAAAAAAAAAAAAAATAGATGATCTCACTATACAGCTAGTGCTCGACTTACGACCATGATTGGTTCCAACAGACCGGTCGTAACACGATTTGGTTGTAAGTTGAGTAGGCTATATGCACGTGGAGATGGTAGTGCTGCCGGAAGCTGGTCCGCACTGTTGTACGTCCAGCTGGGCAATGTTTGCGCTGCCAGATGCGGAGCAGTCATGGCTAGCGATTGTGGTCGTAAAGTCGAATGGTCGTAAGTTGCATAGGTCGTAAGTCGATCAATACCTGTATGTGGGATCTAAAAGAGTTGAACTCATAGAAGCAGAAGGTTGAATGGTGGTTAATACGGACTGGGGGAAATAGGGAAATGTTGGTCAAAAGAGGCAAACTTTCAGTTATAAGATGAATAAATTCTGGCATTATAATGTACACATTGGTGACTATAGTTAATAATTCTGAGTTGTTTACTTGAAATTTGATAAAAGCAGATTGTGAGGGTCCTGACACACACACAGACACATACCAACACACACACAAAAGGTAACTGTACATTATGATGAATTCACTAATTAATTTGACTGTGGTAATCAGTACACGATGTATATGTACAACAAATCATTACGTTGTACACCTTGAAAATATACAATTTTTATTTGCCAATTAAATATTTTTCAAAATTGAGCAGTACTAAGATGATAAACCCAAATAAGCTCACCTTTCTTATAAGACTTTTTCCTCCAAAGTCAGAGAAGGGTGTTGTCAAAGCCAAGATGCATTTCAGAAGTGTCCATGTTAATCAGAAGGAGGGCCACAAGCAGGTTTTTTAAAAGTCACTTCACATTTAAACGATCTGAAGCAATTTCTGCTAAAGTCCTAATTTTCCATTTAGTTTAGTAATCCATATTCTCTTATACAGTTATAAACCATCAGCCTCCTGGTTTAGTTTTACTTATTGAAAATGGTTCAATCATCATACAAATGTAGAAGTTTCATTTTCATGTATTAATGTTCCTGGGAATAGCCCTTGGTCACAGGTGGTAGCCGACAACTAGTGGCTGAGTAATGCCAGATAATAAATGCCTAAAACCCTCACCTAAATTATAAAAGTCTCTGAATCAGTGTTTCAACTCTAGGGGTCCCTACAAAGCTGACTGTGGCAGCAGTATGCTGGATCCAGGTCATACCTACTCACAAAACCTAATTTTTAAATATTCAGGAAAGGTACAGTGGACTTTGTTATCAGGAGATACGGGGGCTGGAATCTGACTTAGAAATTAGCTTACCCTCTTGAGCAAAGCTATGTAATCTCTCAGAGCCTCAGTTTGTCATCCAAAAATAGAATAATTTCTGCCTCACAAGAAAATTGTAAAGTTTAAGTAAGAAAGTTCCTGGCTCAAGATTAATATTTGTTAGAGCAGTATGTTAGCAAAACCAGTAATTGACCACAGGGTAAATGTTTCAGCATGGTCGGTGAGCTCTGGCTCTCTTTTTTCTGTTTTCTTTGGCATTTCCTTGGCTGGTAAGGTCATGTCCTGGAAAAAAATGTTGCTTAGAATAAAGACTTAACTTTTAATCCAAGCTTTGAGCCTGTGATTTGGAATAATCTTTTATGGGTTAGAATGACCTTAACTGCGCGAGGTGAGCTATTTAAGGTCCCTTCAAGTTAAAACATTCTTTGATCATATATCCTTTCAATATTTTCCATAAACACTTCCATTGCAAATCTAGCTTTAAGCTCTTTACTTCTCCCTTTTCTCACAAAACAGTTTCTTCCTCAAGGAGTCTGTTGCAGTCTTTAAATATTCTAGTCACATCTCCAGTAAGCCTGTGTATTAAAGGGTTAGAGAGAGATCTCTGAGAATGTTGTGATGCAAATTTCAACTTAAATTGCTTCCAATGAAGACATTGGCAAACAGATCTTTCTCTTCCTCAGTTACACAGTCATGCATTGGTAACTAATTGGGTCTGATTTATTACACGTCGCAGCTGACCTTCCAGCTCACTGCTAAGCTATTAGGTTTGTCTTGAAGTCAGTAAACCTTGGGTCCCTCTGGTCCTCAATCTGGGCCTTAGGCATCATACGAACATCATTCACCTTGATTGTCTCAGTCAATGACCTTTCCTTTTAACTCACTAGAGCTTCTGGGATGTTTTCTTTTTATCTTCTACAATGAAATACCTTTCACTATTGAGACCTCAGAGCCTCAGATAAGAAACCAGTTAAGGTGCTTTAGGCCATTTTTTATACCTCAGAAAAGATATTATTGCAGTAATATATTGTTTTCTTTAAACAGAATTTCCCGTGAGACCGTTGTGTACCTCTTGGTGCCTCGGATTATTCCTGATTTTGAATAGAAGCATTCTAAATTTAATACAATAGCTATATACTGAAAGTCCATGCCAGAGTCCAAGTTGCCTTGGAGACCATACTTGTAAATGTAACTGGTACCTAAAATTTATTAAATGTTGCTTTTTGGTTATAAGGCCAATATTTTATTTTTTTATATTTATTTCACAGCAGTGAAAATTCTATAATTCACTTAAGGGATAACATGGGAAGGAGGAAATAGCCTAATATTTTTAGTTCTAGGTTAGATCCTGGATCTATGGGTTCTAGAAAGAAATTCTGAGGCACCATCAAAGAAACTCCCTGTGAGCCATGTAATAGGCTGAAGCTCCTCATCAGTGGTAAAGCTTGAATATATATTAAGTATGTACGTTAAGTATGTATATTAAGAGGAAAAAATTCAAAGACACTTATAGAACTACCATTTGAGGAACAGGTACCCAAGAGCGTCATAAGGCATAACTTATGCTACACATATAAGTGTTGTCCAGCCATTCTTTTTGAGACAAAGAACTTCACTGGCTAACAAGCTCTTTATGAATTCCAGAATGCTCAGTAGACTGGTAGCTTCTGGAAAGCAGCTGAAGTTGTAGCACTGATTAGAACAAACTTGGTGTTATCTAAAGTCTATAGCAACAGAGATTTATGTGCAGGCCTTCATGACAGAAGACCTATGTTTTTGTTGAGTGATGTCTAACAGACAAGGAGTCTGCGACATCATGAAGGTGGTCCTGATGTCTAGTGGCAGAGCTGGGGGCTTACCCAATCCCTCACTGTGGCCTTTGCATTACTATCCAGAGGTCACACCTTTGTGTTGTATTGATGTAAACCAACATAAAGCAATCCCAAATGGAGTAATTCTTGCTTTTGGTCTTGGTTGAGTAGAAGAGTGTTCCAATTCTAGTGCCAGTATTCATCAGCAATATGATTTAGGCCAAGTTCCTTCAACATTCTAGGCCTGGCTTTCTTCATCAACATCTGTTGAGCATCCCTCATGCCAAAATGCTTGGGATCAGAAATATTTTGGATTTTTTCAAATTTTTGCATATACGTAATGAGATATCATGGAGAATGGGACCCAAATATAAACACAGAGTTTATTTATATTTAATAAACACATTATATGCATAGCCTTAAGGTAATTTCATACAATATTTTTAATCATTTTCTGCATGACTGTGACCTGTCACATAATATCACGTGTGGAATTTTCTACTTGTGGTGTCATGTCAGCACTCCAAAAGTTGTGGATTTTTGAGCCTTTTAGAGTTTAGATCTTTAAATTAGGGGTGCTCAACCTGTATATACCTTGAGGGGTCATTATATGAATTAAATTGAATTAAAGTACTTGAAAAATAATGTGTGTTTAATAAATAGCAACTGTCATTACTATTAGGATAATGATGAATATGACAGTGGAGATACTGACTTTTGAACAAATATTTATCACAGAGTTTGGCACATAGTAAAAACTTAGTATTCATTTCCTTTCCTTTCCATTTTGAGATTACTTCATGTCAAATATTTACAGTGCAGCCTATTTATAGTCTATTTCTCCCTGAAGCCTCAAAGAAAAATGTCTTGCATCTTTCTCTTTAGGAGTTATCAAACATCTTCTCTTCACAAGATACTCCATTGTGCTGTGTTAAGAAGTGGGAGAAAAAAATGGCCTTTGGATTCGGAATAGCTGGAATTTTTTCTCTCACTGCCCTCCCAAGTATTAATAAACATCTTTGTTAGTCATATTTCTCTTCTTTTATATTCAAAGGCCATGAATCACCCCAACACTCCTGATTCTTATTCCATTTCAAAGCATTATATAACGAGAGTAGCTACCATTTAAGAACATTTACAGTGTTTCTGTACCATCTCATTTAAAGTTTACCATTTTATGATGTGATTATTACTGCCATTCTCGTTTATACATGAAAAACAATTGGCTCACAAAAGTAAAATAAAACCAGACTAAGGTCACATAGCCAATATGTAACAAGAGTTGGGATTTAATCTTCTGTCTGACCTTAAAGCCTTTGCTTCATCAACTGTGCCATCCAACCTCCTCACCAAAGATGGAATCTCTAGGAAAGCTGATTATCTCAGTAAACCAGATGTCAGCTTCTTCATTAAGGTAGGAAGTATACACAATATAAAAATGACAAATCATTGAATTTTTTCTTTTTACAACCTCAGTGTTCCATGAGAAAACTAAATTCATCAATCTTCTTCCCAACTAATCTTTTCAACATTAATCATTCTCTTCAGTAAATTAGAAACTGGGAATTAATTTAATGAGTTTTCTTCCCAATGACACAAACCTCATATCATTGTGGTTTCCAAATCAAATTACCATCTAAGTAATCAAAGGACATAGACTGCAGACTGCTATGACACTCAGAGTTAAATATGCAATTGAATAATTAAAATTTCTCACTGAAGTGGACACTTTTCATTCTTGGAAATAATGTGTTTGAACATAGCCAGAGGTCTCATTTTCTTAGCAATGTAAGGATGTTTGTTTCTTGTCATGTGTTACCTGATCCACAAAACACATGCTGCCAATATAACATATGGCGTGTATACATTTTTAAATATGCAATTATAATTTTCGATGAGCCGTGTACAAGAGATGTATTGATTCGTGTCATTTGCATAAAATGTCAGTCATACTGGCAGCTAGTTTATCCTTTTGCTGTCCTTGAAGCAGAGTACAGAATGCTAAATCCCACAGTGTCATTAGTAATGCCAATCAAAATAAGAATCAGTCACTCATTTTTAACTAAAGAATGAAAAATTGAATTACCCCCATTTGTCAAATTATTTCACTATTAATAAATCATATTAATCCTACAAAGGGACCAGCATTCCCACCATAACATTTACAGGCAAATCATTACATTTGAGGAGGAAGAAGATTAAATCAAAAGATTTGGATACTTTAAGTAAATTAGTACTTGAAAAGAATTGAATAACTTTATTCTTTCCAGTCAATGTATATGTTTCTTTATTTGTTTTAATATATACTCTGGACAAGATCCCCTTTTCATAAGGGGAATGTCAGAACAGTTAGAAAAAGTTCAGAGTTGTCGCTGTGCTAAAGGACATGTAATTTACAGTTTACAAAAGGGGTTGAATTATAATGATGAGAGACTGAAACGTATGAGGAATCCTTGAGAAAATCGGATTTAGCCTCATGAAAATTCAGCAGAGGACGTGCTACATGCTTTAATTTATTTGAAGCTGTCATGGAAATGGATTAATAAACCAAACAAAGGTAAATGGGTAGAAAACACAGGAGGTAGATTTTGGCTCATCATAAGAGAAGATTTTGTAAATGTAGGAGCTGTGCATTGCTATCTAATCTGGATATCATTGGAAATATTCAAACACAGTTGAATACCATAGAGGATAGAAACTATTTCATATAAGAAAATTAAGTAAATAGCCAGTGATATGTCTTTTAATCCTTAACATGTCTATTCTAGAGAATAAGAAAAAAAAGACATGAAATTACCCAAGAATAATTTTGAAAGAAAATAACAGACTAACAAATACGAAAGAGTAAAATTCAAATTGAGTAGAAAATATTGTCATAGGCTGTGTTCCTCCGGAAGCTGATTCTAACACCGACTTTAGTTGCTACGTGTTTACTAAAGAGCTCATTTAGGGATGATCCTGTGAAGGAGACAGAAAGGAAATAGGTTTGAGTAAAGAGAGAAGTCCATTTGTGTGTCAGAACAAATGACAGCCTCAGCCTACGGCAAATGTTGCTCTGGAGCTAAAATACTCCTTTAGACTTGTTCTGACTTGCGTCAAGATAGCCAAGCCTTTACACGGTTTTATAAAAGATCCATTCTATTATATGAGCAACCCCAGGAAGGAATGCAACCCTGGGCAAAGTGAGTCTGCAGCTGAAGCAGAACCTAGAACAGCTGACAGCTAAAACACTAGTGAACCAATCTCATGACTTTTCCTCTTCTATCAGGTAGTCATATGGTGTGATTTGATGGAGAGGCGCTATGCAAGAGTTGTAGATTATGTGTGGATCTTTGGCTAGCTAATAGAGGACTCGTACTCGTTTCTTTTCATTTTTTGAGACAGAGTAGAGCTGTTACTCAGGCTAGAGTATGGTAGCACCATCATAGCTCACTACAGCCTTGAACCCAAGCTCAAGCAATCCTCCCACCTCAGCCTCCTGAGTGGCTGGGGACTACAGGTATGTGCCGCCATGCCTGGCTAATTTTTTTATTTTTATTTTTGTAGAGACAAGGTTTCATTGTGTTGCCTAGGCTAGTCTTAAACTCCTGGGCTCAAGCAATCCTGTCTCGGCCTCCCAAAGTGCTGGCATTACAGCTGTGAGCCACCATGCCTGGCCTCAATTCTTGTAACACTTTCATCTTAAAATTGATAGTTGCTGGACCCACCTGGCTTTATAACTTGGTGAGTCTGATAAGAGAACCTAGCTAATAATGGGAGTATATAAGGGCTTGGTAATAAATTAAAACTGGCTCAGTGGAGTCCACTGGGTGCATGGGCCCACCTAGTGGTCATTTCTCTGATCCCAAGTATGACAACCTGAGTTAACAGCACAATACTTACATTGGATCTGTAGGGTAAAGTCTGTCAGTGTGAAATTCGAAGAGGAAGCCTCCGGTACTGCAAAACTCACATCCAAGAGAGCAATTAAAGAAGTAATACCATATCTCATGAGGTTGGCAGAAATTAGAGCCAATATAGCAGAGTGGAGACTTTGTGGTCCCTGCCATTTCTCAACTTAATTCAACACTCTGGCCTCTCAATGAGATGAAGGAATTTTGGAAAATGGCATTACATTATGGCAAATTTAAGCAAGGAGTAACCCTGATTGCAGCCACAGCCACTATGCTAGATGAAGTATCTTTGCTTGAGCAGATTAAAATAGCCCTGGAGAATGGGAATATAGCCATTGAATTATCAAATGTATTATTTTTCATTGCTGTCAGAATAAGGGATCAGAAATAGTTTGAATTAAGGCAAGACTATCTATTTACAGTTTAGTTCCAGGACTACAGTAATCACTTTTCCCATTTGCTATCATAATATGCTATGAAGAGGTTTTGACACTCTAAATCTCTTGCAGAAGAGCGTGTTGATCCACTCTATCAATGATAGTATGGTCACTGGTCAAGATGAACAAAAAGTGGCTAGAATATTAGAGGCCTTGTTAAGACACACATACTTTAGAGGATGGGAGATAAACCCCAGAAAGGCTCAGGGGTATTTCACATCAGTAAAATTTTAGTGGTTCAGTGGTTATGGGCATTCCAGAACATCTCATATAAAGCAAAAAATAAATTTTGCATCTTGTACCTTCCAACACAAAAACAGAAGCCCATCATTAGCTAGATTCTCTTATCAGACTCACCAAATTATAAAGCCAGGTGGATCCAGCAACTATGCATTTTAAGATGAAAATGTTGCAACAAGAATTGAGGCTTCCACAACTATTCTAGGCCCCCCACCCCCTTTTTTTTCTCTCCCTTTAGCTGGAAGAGAGAATTTCTTGGACTTTTTTTTTTTTTTTTTTTTAAATCCACACCCACTGATTTGGGATACACTGAAACATTTGGGAGACATAGGAGAAAAACAAAACAAAACAAAACAGGAAGATGTGTTGGTTATTCTTTGAGTTTTTATTTCCCTCTCAAGTATGCTTCAGAATTCTCAGTTAGTGACTTCATGTATTTTGTCCAGGGCTTTTGATTATAATAAGTGAGAGAGAGAGGGTGAAGTGTATTTTCTCTGATTTAATTGGAACTTCAATCCCAAAAATTGAAGTTTGAAAAATATAAGAATAAGTATTTGTAAAACTTACAGAAAATATTATGTATTACTAAATCATTATTATTTTGCTACATTAGAGTCATGATGTTTAAGAAAAATAACAGCAAGAAACATTCAATAGCCTTTTCTTGATTATTTTTTACTTAGTTGGTTGATTTTGAATTATCCTGTAGTTTCAGTTCTTTTCATGCATTAAATGATTTTACCAATTTTTTTACATAACAAGGATTTTAAGTGTCCTGGTTTGACAAATGATTCACTTGACCTATTTATGAACAAATAAAATTGTTTGGCATTTCTACTGCAAACTGTAAAGATCTCAATTTTTCTATATTATTTTTCATCCTAAGTGAAATGACTCCTAAAATGTTAAGTATTTTAGTCTTGTTTGAGAATAAACTGCTTCTCAGCAAAAATGATTTTAACACCTATATTTTATAATAAATTACACAGTAACATCTATATGTGCTATATGTAACTTACACATTTTAAAATGCATTAAAATAAGCAGGAACACTGACCCTATTACTATCCCTAATGATGTATTAAATTGGTTTTTATAATTTTTACCTTTTCAAATTCCCTTAAATATCTTCTTCTTGACATTAAAATTCAATTTTTAAAAACTTGCTCTATTCTGCCTCTGTCATTCTGTGCAAATTATTTCAACTGTTTATACTTCAGGTTTTCTGCTGTAAAATTGAAAAAGTTCCTACCACTTTACATGACTATTGCTAAGACTGAGGATAAAATATTTATAAAATTGACAGGCACAGTAATTTGTAGTTATTAGTACTGGAAATGTATTCTCATTTCTCCATACTACCATAGCTTCCCATGATCAAATCCACCCACTGTCAATAGATGACATTTGGGGCTACTCTTTGTATCCAGGGCTGGCCAAGTATGACCCACGTGGTCCTATCATCTAGGTGCTCTTACTAGAGTCCTCCAATATTCTCCCTTTAAAATGTATGGGGTGGACAGTGTTACCTTCTGTGTCAGTTTCTAGTGATGATCGGTTCAGTGTAGCAGGAAGGATGTAATGACAAGCTTGTATTGATGAAATTACAAGGCTAAAATGAATCAAAAGGACAAGTAACTTACTTTTCAGGGATGCAAAGAGAATTGATGTGTTCAATATATATTTCCTGAAATCCAATGTATACCAAGAACTGGGCTGAGATCTGGAAATCAAAAGGGAGAAAAAAAACATATCCCCAGATTTGTGGAGAAATTAGAAATCCCCGAACTAGATTATAAGTTATTTCAGGATAGCTATTTCATTTTATTTCTTACTGTTCTCTACGTTTAGCAGATTTGCTGACATATGATAAGGTAGTAAGTACTTCTTCTTCAATGGATGCATGAACTATCAATTGGAATATCGTTCTAATAGTGCTGTGATGGAAGTATACCTTTCAATTATAAATCACCAGGCAAACTGTTAACTTTCAATCATTCCAGGTTCCCATGTAATCTCTTCAGGAAAAAAGGCCCACCTTCAAGCTCTTGCAGCCTTTTTTAATATTCATTCAAGTATCCATTCAAAAAAATATGCATTGGATAATTACTACACTGTACTATAAGTATTTTATTATGTGCCTGTTCCACTCTTTCCCAATAAATGTCCTTCTAGTTCACCCTTCCAACCTCCACCAGCAGGACTAGGACCGAGTCTCAGTTCTCTTACACATTCTTTCATGGCAAAGAAAATAATAGGTACTTCTCAGAAATTACATAGAGGTTGAACCACAGTTTTCAGTTAGCTTTCACGGCTACATTTTATTTTCAGGTAACATCTTTAGGACATACTGGACCTACTTCTAATCTAAACTGAGAGGTCCGGGTCCCCATACATTCTAATCTAACTTTCTGATTTCCCAGCTGAAATCTCTTCTTTCTCATTTTTGTGTCCTTCTTACCACCCTAAGATAGGAAACAGATACACATTAAGTAGGGCTTAGTGCTACTATACCAACCTATTCTAAAGTTTTAATTTTTAAAATTTATTTAAATGCTTTTTAGAGTCACATCTTCTACAAAAAAAAAATCTGTAATCCAATAGGAAAGAATAAAACATCTCTGCTATACTCATGGACAGGGACTCAAAATCATTTGGCTGCTCTCAGCCCCTTGGCAATATGTCTGTGAAACCCTATGGAACACAATTCGAAAACTGTCACTCTAAAGAAATACTACTGCTTGTCTTCAGCTGTGAAGGATGCCCTGTTGAACAGTACCTGGGCCGTCTATATTTTCTTCAGTGCCTCCTATTTTCTCGTATGTAAAAATATTATCAGAACAGCACACTATCATTGCACCCAACAAAAATTTTAAAAATTATTCTTTGTTACATTTTGATCAAAATAGTGAGAGTCAGGGGCCTGATATACAAAAAGAGAAGAATTAATGATCTTATCTGCCTTGAAAGTAGCTGTGCTTCTAGCAATTCCTACGAAGTCTTGTGGATTTCAGGGAGGGCACACTTCTGTAAAAAAAATTTGATTCAGCCTCTCTGTTTGATAATGGTTTCTATAAGTATATTTGAGTGAGATATTATAAATCCCAGTCATGTCTATTCTCTTTCTAATTCCTTGTTTCAATCCACGTGCCTCAGAGTTCTCCCCTTTACATGATATACAGAAATATACCAATACAGAGTAGAGACATGTTAAGCCCCATTGTCTAAGGTGGTGGCAGAAAATAAGTGAGATTGAAGTTAAAATGTGGATAAAAATATTACATGTTTAGAAGTATTTCGATCTTTTTAATATCCCTGACTGCTATAGGACCGGTGAAAAGTTAGAGAAAGACTGTTTTTTGATGTCCTCTGTAATTCAGCATTCAATTTCAGCCACTTTTTCCCTCCCTACTCACTCGTTTCTTGACTCCATGTTAGCCCAGTTCCTAGGACTGAGTTACTTTCTTATTTGGTACTCCTGTTTTCATTTCCTGGGAATGGAGCTATGTAAATGCAATTTCAAGTCAATCCCCCAGGACTACCTCTCTTTCCAATCATATTCCATGTCTAACGTCTCCTATACACACAGCCAGCTCTGGCCTTTTAGATAGACATATTTACTAATTCATTCAGTTATGAAATCTTATTTATTCTCTTTAATATGTTATACTTAACAAGATGTCTATTAAAGTAATATAAACAAAAACATCAAACAAAAAAGCACCAAAAAGAAAAGTATTCAAGAACACCGAACATTTGGAAAAGTGTTTATATTAATATATCTTACAGGGAACAAGATTTGGGAGGAGAAAGTGTATAGCTGAGGACACTGATAAGAGCCACTCAGAGTGGTTGAATAGACTGTGTCCTGCTTTGGCATGAAACTGTATGTGTGTGTTTGCAGGGGGAGGGTGGGAAAAAAAGGCAGATAGATAGAAAACTATTCAGAAATGATGAGCTGACCTTTATGTTAAACCCAGCAACTTTTTTAAAAAATAAAGGCTACTCAGTACTTTTCTGATGAGACAATACCATATTACTCTGTGACCGTAGGCATTCCATCATGCCTTGGTTTCTCTTACTGTTCATAATTGCCTAACTGGCTTCTCTAGGCAGAGAATGAAGACTATTCCACCCCAGTGCCTTCTCAGGAATTAGCCTGTTAGTTTTTTCTAGGCTCTGCTCCTCATGGCCCCCACTTCCTTTGCCCTCCTTAACACCTATCTTGTACTGACCCCAATATACCCATATTAGCAGCCTCTTTCAACCGTCAAAAGCTTTTACCCATAATACAAATGTTTCAGAACAAATATATAATTCTGTTCTCCAGTGTTGAGGCAGGCCATAAAACATATTCAGCATTGTTATTTAAAGTTCATCTTGGCCTAACTCCCTGGTAAGAGTGGGGTTAGAAAATTCAGAGCATGAAAAGGTTACTAGCAATATTTATAGATTAGGAAAGCTCATTTATATAATAAATCTGGAGGACAAGTGTAAAAATCATCCACAGATAAGTTATATCATGACAAGACAATGCACTAGTCCACATAAACTATGCTATCTTAGAAAATATTATAGTTTTCTTCTGTCAGGATAGAAGATATTATGAGCCATAATTTCCTAAATATTATTTTTGTTCATTTGTGGATTTGTCCACAAAAGAGGAATATTTGAGCAAAAAGAAAGTGCAACATTATAGGTTGTTCCATTATGAATCTTGTCTTAGAATAAAGTCGATTTGCCATGTCTAGCTGGTGAGAAGTCATTTACACAGCAAGGAACAGGTCTATTACAATATAAATGATGCAAACGTGTAGTAGAATGCATGGTGGAATTTCTACTCAAAGACAATGAAATAGGAAGGTCTCTTCCATAATCATTTGATCAAAAAGAAACGTACTCAAATAACTTCATGGTACTGACACAATGGAAAGAGGAAATTGGTAATATAAATTAGGAAAGACTAAAATAGAAATGGCCTAAAAGGGTTACTCTGGAAATAGAAACCCAAGTGGAGAGTGGGAGAGAATTTTTTTAGGTATAAAATATAAATCTTGAATTTCTTTTGCCATGCCCATGTACACATTATAGCAGAATTAAATATTTAAAGTAATTATAATGATGTAATTGAAGGCTTGAAAAGAAAAAGAATGCCCTGGTATAATTGTAAAATTCTAGCAATAGAATTTACTATGACACTTAACATATTTTCAGTATTGGAAAGATCTTGAAGGCAGAATTACACATTTGGTACTAAATTTATAAATGCTTTGAAAAATAGTCATTTAACAAATAGTTATTAGATACCTACCATGTAACAATACCAACCTGGCCTATGTGGTGAAACCCCAGATCTACTAACACACACACGCACGCACGCACGGACACATGTGCCCGCGATAGCCAGGCATGGTGGCGCGTGCCTGTGGTCCCAGCTACTTGGGGAGCTGAAGCAGGAGAATTGCTTGAACCTGGGAGGCGGAGGTTGCAGTGAGCTGAGATCACACCACTGCAATGCAGTCTGGGTAGCAAAGGGAGACTTTGTCTCAAATAAAATAAAAAATATATATGACTTTTGCATATTTTCTTTTACAAAATATGAACAATTTCCATAATTATTTCTATGATTTAAACATAAATGCATTCTATCCCAGTTATAGCATATACATATATATATACAGCATACATGTATTTACGGAGGGTATATGCATTCAATGATGGAATGCATTAAATTATGCACATAATTAAAAATTACGTAGTACAAGAACATTTGGAAATATGTAAATTGTTCAAAATGTTGACAAAATACATTTAAAATGCTCCTTTTAAATTAACAAAGTATGTATTATGGGCTGGGCGCAGTGGCTCTTGCCTGTAATCCCAGCACTTTGGGAGGCTGAGGCGAGTAGATCACCTGAGGTCAGGAGTTAGAGACCAACCTGGCCACCATGGTGAAACCCCTGTCTCTACTAAAGATACCAAAAATTAGCCAGGTGTAGTGGTGGGCGCCTGTAATCCCCACAACTCAGGAGGCTGAAACAGGACAATTGCTTGAACCCAGAAGGCAGAGGTTGCAGTGAGCCAATATTGCATCATTGCACTCCGGCCTGGGCAACAAGAGTGAAACTGGGGAGGATCGCTTGAGCCTGGGAGGTCAAGGTTGCAGGCCTTGCAGGCTGCAGCAACTGAGCACTCCAACCTGTGCAACAAAGTAAAAAAAAAAAAAAAAAAAAAAAAGTATGTATTATGCATGTAACAGAAATATGAAAAGTTCATACACGATAATGTACACTGGTTATAACTACATAATGACATTATGAGTGATTTTTATTGCCATGTATTTTCAATAAATACATGACTAGGTATTTTCAATAGTGAACCATATATTTTTGTAAAGAGAAGTTGTTTACAAAGGATACAATCAAACCTTGTCCATCCTTTTTTGGAATTGCAAAGGCCAATAAAAACAGGCGTCAAACTATTCTATGATTAGTTATGCAAGAGGGAATATGGGTGTATTTGTCTATGTTTGAATTGGTGACTGTACATCATACATTACAATAAATCGTGTGAACTTGAGAAGCATACTCATATTTGATTCTTAGCTCTGTGTACATTGTTAGACTAGAGTGGTTTATACCAGAGTAAGTTTGGATTTCTCCATGTTTTTGGAATATGATTCCTCATCCAAAGTTTAGATTCACAAGGCAGCAATCGGAGCAATGAACAGCTAGTGTTTAAATGCACAAGTGAAGTTAATTTAGCCTGCACATATGAAGTTAATTTAGGCTTTGAAGTTGACTTTTTCAACAGTATGTCAGTAAATTAGTAGCTAAATTGTTTCTAATTCCGTTTTAATGCTTCTAATAAAATTCACAGTGCAATAAATTTAACATTGCACAATTATAAACTATGATTATAAATAAATTTTATTTTGCACGAAATACAGATTTGTGGCCACCTATTAATTAGAATGTTGACTTCTAATGGAAATGTGGTAAACATTACTGTGCTGTATAGCTTCTTTTGTTTTATAGAGCTCACTTGTGTATTGTAAATATAACCTATTTGAATTCATTACAGATAGTTTGTCAAGTAAATTTTTAAATCAGAAACAATGAATAGCATTTAAATTTGGCACCACTGGGATACAATTTGGACTATATATAATTTTAAGTGGAAACTTGCTTTGGAATTCATTCACTGTGTGATATTACAAATATGACATATTTGTAGATTTTTTCTTATGTTTTTAAAGCTGCAATATAGTATATGGTTGTCTATAATTATTTGTGTAAACAATTACCATGGATTTTAAAATTGGGGAAACAAATGTACCTTTTAGATAATTTATGCAGTAAATATCATACATTTACAAAAAGAGGTCACATTCTGTGTGCTAAATCTAAGCTTAGTCTACTATGAGATGAAGATAAAAATGTTTCTTCCTAACTAAAGTGATTGA